TGTGCCCCTCAGCATTTTCAGATGCATGCGATCCTATAAAAAAATCAATACTGGTATGAAAGGAAATAAAATGTTTTCTAGAGAGCAGACTCAGAGCTGTACATTGTGCATAAGGAAGGGCTGTACCTGCAGGATACCTTTTTGCTTCAACAGCTGAGGCTCTGCTTATGAACTCTGGACTAGAGGTTAGTTCACATGAGGAGAAATTTGCAGCAAATACATTGTGCCCACAAAAAAAAAAAAAATCCATTGTGGCCCAAAGTATTTAACATAGTAATCTATTACACATGATCTTAATTGACTATTTAAACCTAGAATGCCATACAACCACAGAATTAGGTATCTAAGGACGTTTCATTGTAGTTTCCATAACAACCAACTTCAGTTCAGCAGGAAAGATCTGGAGCCGTGAAAGTCAACGGGCCCACCGCTTGAAGCAAAAGTTTCCACCAGCTGAGCAACACCTGCAAAGGCCACCTCTCTGACACAAAAATAAAACATTAAAAAAAAATGGCCTCCTGCCAACATCTTCATGTGGAAACTAGCTTGAAAAAGAAGGGTGGGAAGAAAAAGGAGAGAGAGGGAGGAATTAGCCAAAGGGGGGGGGAATAAACAATGCTATAGTTTGGAGATACTTAAAAGACAGAGAGAATGAGAAAACCTCCCACCAGTGGGAGTTTTAAGTATCTCTAGATTTAAAAAGCTCTGCTAATAAAACTGCTTTGTACCGTAAGCCAGATATCTCACATACCTTTGAAAACACAGGTGTAATTGTCTAGCTTTTCTCTTCTGTGGATTTCCTTTTAACTGAAACTCCAAACAGTGCAGGATTTGTGGAGAGTTAAGATGGAAAAGCAGAACATTATCCTTTTAATGAAATTTATTTTCTTCCCTTTCCTAATTGATCCAATTATGAATCTTTAGATCAGGGGTAGGCAACCTTGGCTCTTTTATGACTCGTGGACTTCAACTCTCAGAATTCCTGGCAGTTGAAGTCCACGAGTCATAAAAGAGCCAAGGTTGCCTACCCCTGCTTTAGATTATGCAACAGGATCAATGGGGCCATAAGGACTGAAATTGAAGTATTAATTTGGCCCTCTCTCATTTAAACTGAGTTTGTCTACAAAGTTTGGCCATTGGGGCCCAGAAGCCGCAGTGCTGCAAAAGCTGCTGTTCCTAATTAGCATGGCTGAGCAGGGCTGCTAGAAGCTGCAGTTCATCAGAACCAGTTTGATCTAGTGATGAAGGCAACGGGCTAGAGGCCAGGAGACTGTGAGTTCTAGTCAAGCGTTAGGCATGAAAGCTGGCTAGGTGACTCTCAACCCAACCCACCTCACAGGAGTGTTGTTGTTGAGGGGAAAATAGGAGAAGGAAGGAGTATTGTGCATGTTTACACCTTGAGTAATAAAGATGGAAAATGAAATCTAACAGCTAACACTATCTATCCCGCTCCTATTATACAGTAATTCTTCACTCATGGACAAACTTGGGACAAAAAAATAAATACAATCTAAAGAAGAAATAAAAGGAGCTATAGAAGTTCAAAGAAGAAGAAAAAGTACATGACCATCAAAGAACTGAAAAAAACTCATGATAGTTTTTGGGCAAGATAATTGCGTGTGGAAAGAATGATCAATCAAAACTAGCTTATTTTTATATACAATTTTTATATACAATTGGAAAGGCATAGGAACTCTCTCTAACTATTTGATCAATTCAGCTGGAGCAGTTATTAAAAAATAATGAGAAGGAAGGGATAACATCCAGGGGTCTTACTAAAGAGGAGTTTGATTCCTACAAGGCTCCAAAATATGCTTGGTATAATCATAACAACTTGTCATAAAACTTTACTGTAGGAAAAACCATAAATACCCCGAGTATATGATCCAAGTTTTGCCTTCAAGAGGAATTGAGTTTTAAGACCCAGGAGATTCCATGCTCAGATTAATGTAATATTTGTAGCTCAGGTGCTAGTATCTTATGAAACATAATATTCCATTACATGAATTAATTTACAGCACAGTCTCTACATTTTAACAGAGAGATATGTTCCATTAGACATATTGAACCGCAGCTTCCTTTTGATTGTCTTCCAGCTTCTGTTCAACTCACTTTCAAGACTATTTGATGCACACGTAACTAAAGATAGCAACCTTTCATAGTGATTTATTCCTGCTATTAAATTAGTCCCTCAGTATAGGCGAGCATAATTTATTTGCTAATAAGAAGTTAGAAGCTGGCAAGGGAAGAAGCTACATACCTGCTTTCCAGTGCAAATAGGATTAACCTCTTAAAATATAGTAAATTCAAACTCCTTTTTTTAATTTGCTGTCCCATTCATTATGTTCAAAAAATACATAATTTGTCAATATATTAATACAAAGGACACAGAAGAAAATATAAATAAACCCCCAGAGTTTGGTTTACAATAAATACCTGTGTTTTTAAAAAGAAAATTTATAAAAACAGAGTTTATTTTTTAAAAAGTTAGACTAACTACAGGGTGGTTATATCACAAAAATGAAACAGGATTTAACATCATAGGGCCATTCCCATTCTCTTAATGAACATGTCATTTAGCAGGAAAACAAAATAACAAATTAATACACATGTGAGAATACAGTATTCTAAGACTGGAAAGTCACCAGTCAGTGTCTTAAAAATCCATATATGGAACAAAGTACCTTTGTACTTTACAAAAACAATTGTAAAGTTTAGCCAAATATGGCAAGGCATACTTTAAGTCAATGAGAAATGAACATATAGTGCTTTTTCAGAAGAACAATGGCATAGATAATGATGCGCAAACTTCACTCTGCCTATGCACCAACTCTACTTTTGTGAGCTGAACTGATTCCCAGTGAGATTTGGGTGTGCTGCTTATCTTCTACAATCTATAATTTTGTGAAGCCATTCAGAGTTATCTTTTGGGTTGGGAGGCCTAGGAACTGGGTAAATAAATAATATGCATATGTTTTATAATTCTTTTATTGGATCTTTGTTTTGAAAAAACACAGCCATTGAAGGGTAAAACAAAATGGGGGTGGGAAAAAAATTGTTTGATTCTCTCCTTTTGGGCTATTTCCTCAGCAAAAAAAGTTCCACTACATATTTTGTCAGGTAATGTAGAGAAAAACATGTTCCACAGCAAGGGTAAATAAAACTGATGTGATGGGGGGGGGGGGAGAGAGACGCTAAATTGGTGGCATGAAAATAAGTTCTCTCTGTTATGAAGGAAGGCATTGGAAAATTTATGTTTCATTCAATTTTACCTTTTTGGCTACAAATATATCATTTTTTCCTTCTTCCTCTCTCACATCTCACTTTGTTATAAATCTCTCTCCACTTATTTGTCATAATTTTACTTCTTATCAAAGGTTCTGTCAACATGTGCCAATCAGGGAAAATTATTAAAACAATAAATACATAAGTTCTGGCAACCAATTAAGAACCTCTTAAAATCATGTGGTCGGGAAGCAATCTAAGCCAAACCAAAATCATGGTAAACATATGTCACAATTGAGATTCTTTTCTCTTTTTCAATGAATAGAAGAAACCATTTTAATATTTTAATGGACGGTGAATTCAATCTTCCTGCAAAATACAGAAAATGATGTATAGAGAGAGAGGGTAAAAACTCTTCATCCATTCATAACTTTATGCTGGAATTACATCAGTAAATTCCAGATTGAAAGGCTATAGCAGGTGGAATTGTGCCTTTCACTCAAGATTATTTAAAAAGGGGAGTCTTTGATGTGGAAAAACATTTCCCTGGATGATTCCACTTCTTCATATAAAATTGTATGACTTCAGGAGAATTAGCCTATGTGATCTCTCTTTTATATCTTAGGGTCACATTCTGTAGAGCTGTGTCTATTCCTCACGCAATTTTTCAGGTTAATAGACCTGATCCAAAATACTTTCTTTGAGATTTAAATGGATGAGACACCACACTATAGTTTTCTCTACAGAAAAGTAACAATGAAAATTAAGGGTTTCTTTTTAAGCAAAAGTGTTGTCCAACAAAACAGAACATTTTATGGACTGGCACATTCATTCACCAAGTCCACCAAAGACTGTCCCCCACTATTTCTCAGCTCAACAACACCAAAAGTATGTATTTTAAAAGCACAGGAAAAAAGCATACTGTGTATCATATTTGGGTAAGTACACACAATAGTTTTTGCAGATTTCTTTAATAGTTTTGTTATTTTAAAAAAAACTAAGGAAGATTGATTCCTTACTGGTAACACATTTTTGTAAAACTGTCATACAATATTATATTCATTATTTTGGAGAATGTCCCTCCAGGTGCCAGATGTGACATTTTCCAGAGATTGTTTGGGGCTTGTATAACTCTTGTATAAAGCATTAACAATGTTTGTTTCAGAAATTGGGATGTTAAATAATGAAGTTGTAAGAAGTCATCATCAGACATGATATCACAGCCTAAAAATTCAACCCAAACAACCCGTCTGGTCAGCTTTACTAACAGCACGTCCTGGCCAATGATCAACGTGTAATTTATTAAACAGGTGACTGCTGGACCTTTCTTCAGAAACATGCCATGGTTTCACGCTGGACTTAAGCTTGTGCCTTTAACAAAACCTCAGCTCAAACTTTCTCCTGAGCACAAGGGGCTCAACTCAACAAGAGTTTTGCTGGCAGACCACACAGCAAGCAAGTTTCTTGCTAATTTCCTACAGTCCTCTTGACCTTTGACATTACAGTTACTGCGTCTTCTAAAGCTAGTGATCTGTCAGAGGCACCATCACTGATCAAAACAGGAAGCCTGCCATAGTCAATAATCACACAGTAAGGGCAATCCTATAACCTCCCTCTACCATCACCCATGTTAAACAAAAATTCAAATAAGCTTCCACACGGCCCTTAAGAGATATTTGCTGAAATTAACATTTATTTTTCTCTGTCCATATCCATCAGCCGCATATGAAATATTATGAAGTACTACGCAAGATCAGGATATTCCAAATACTCACAATGAAAAGTCTCTGGATCCCCAAAGCAAGTCTTTCTGTTTTCACTTTCCATGTCAGAGGCACAGGAGAGTTCAGGAAGAACACCAATGGTTTCTGATGAATATGCATTGAAGCAATTGGATTCAAATGCAAAACAACCTGCAAGATAGAAACAAATAAGTCAAGACACTGGAACTACCACTTGATCCAATTGAGAATAAATCAATAATAATTAGCACTTCTGCTGTAGGCGCTTAATTACTTCAGGGGCCACCTGGTACTTTGCACATAGACTTGCTCACAGATTTGAAATATTTTTTTGTATTTTCTAGAGAAAGAGTGAGGCTAAATCTCAAAGTCAACAGCGCTTAAGGATTATTTAACTGATGAACGAAATGTCAAGACTAGCATCATTTGGCATGCTCATGTCTTTTCCAGGCAAGAAGATAGAAACAGAAAAATGGGGAAGAATTAATACCTTCTTTATGTCTTTCTCTCTCCAGCCCTCGTCCTCCCAACAGTGGCAAGATTGGACATGTAAGTAAGGCAATGTGAAGAGCAATGGGATGGAAGAGAAGGATGTACTACTCTCAGGGAGAGGCCCCTGAAGGCATCTTGCCAAATAAAATTGCACCATGCCCCCAAAACATGGAATTTTCTAAATTATAGGCAGAAGGGGGGGGGGCATGAAGGTGGGATGGTACACTTAAGAACACATTTAGCTCATGACCGAGTTAAAAATTGAACCTGAAACTTCCAAATCATAGTTTTTACACCCTAAGCATAGCTCTCCTCAAGGATCAGGGCTGGCAAGAACATCCTTATTTGAAACCACTCAATCTGTTAATTATAATGAGCGACAATAGTAGAGACACTAACACCTTAGTCTTAAGCCCTTTGACATAGTAAAGTAGGACTTAAAAAGGGGGCATTGTCTTATGTCACGCAAATGTCAGTAACATAATATGATGAAAAAGAGGGGGGAAGAACAAGCAATACAGCATTCTGAAAACATTTCAGACGCTACAGAAATGTTTCTCAATCTTGCTGGCTGTGGAATTCTGGGAGCTGAAGTCCACACAGGACAAAAGTGCCAGGGTTGAGAAACAATGCTCTTTCAGTTTGCAGCCTGGTTCCAGATTTTCAGATTTCCTGATTCCCATTTTCAGATAGTTCCCTTGAATTTGCAGTCTTTGATATTATAGATTCCTGCAGGATCAAGAAGCACATGCCTCTTGTAACCCTGTTCAGGACACAAGAAGAGAATATCATTTTTGCAAAGCGTAGGCTGAAGAGTCTGTAGAGAGGAAATCTACACGTAACATAGAAAACTGTAAGAGGTGGTTTGCTAATTAAAAGAACCATCAGAAAGGATGTTTTGCATCTGTAAATGATAGTGTGTGGCCCAACTGTGAAAAAGACCTGTTCAAAGGTACAAAAATCTTCCGTTCTGGCAATTATCATAAAAGCTCTCCTTGTTTGTAAATCAGGAGATGTATTTATTTTGTTTTGGAGATTTGTTTCGCCTTATCAATGTTTGGAATACAGGACATACTAACCCCCACATAGTGGCATGTTTCCTTTAAGGGCCTGTGTAAACAAGATTTTTTTTTTATTCAACTTCCTTCTTTGTCAAAGAATTAAAGATACACCAAATAAAACAGGACACAATCAGCAGATAAAATGAAAAGGCTAAGGACAAGGATAGATTTGGGAGTACATGAGGCATACCACAATTAATGAGTCAGGATTATGCCAATAAAGGCAAGTTAATTAAAAGTCAGGGCCACTTTTAAGCAAAACATGTGATAAAGTGTACCTTGGATTATAATATGTCAAAATTTGGATAGAAAAATTCTATGTTTGTTTACCTTTTAAATAGGCTTTCACATGTAGAAAAGTTATGTGCCAAAGAAAAGAACAGAATTATTTTTCGTAACTCTCTAGTGTTGTATATCCAGGGTGTTTTTTATATAAGAAACATCAAATCGCACAATCCATTAATCTATATTCTGAAACTGTTTTCTCCCAGAAAGATCATAATTCCCTTTTTAAAAACCCATTTACCAGCACTTAATCAAAAGGAAAATGCAAGTTCAGCATTGTAATTAAAACATACAGTAAATGGCCATGCCTTTAGAAAAGTCTCATTTTTTCTTTTTGTTTTAGAAAGGTCACTGACTTTATTTTGTACCTTAAACATGGGCATTTATATATTTCAGTGCAAACTTATACAATTAGGAATTGCTTTCAGAAATGTTCTACAAACATAGACAATATCCAGTTGGTAAAGACGGCAACAAATTTGGTCTCCCTGGAGATGCCAGGGTTGTGGAAGGCTGAATATTATTACCACAGCAACCAAATTACAAAAACATTCTGAGGGCTCATGCCCATTATTCTGGCAGAGTAATTTATATTACAAAGAACAGGCTAAGGCACAAATGCTGGAAAATGATTAAAGTAAAAAGAAAACCAACAAACCCTTTTAGCTTTATATAACTTTAGGACTTGAAAATCCCACACAATACACACTCCCACACACAATGTCATTATAAAAGTAAATATCTAAGGTTTTGAAATGCTGAACCACCTTGCTAGTGTGAAGGACTCCAAATTAATTCACAGCATAGTTTTTTTTTCTTCAAAACAGCCATTACAAAATTGTGCTAATAATGCAGGGTAAAATGTATCAAATTACAGTACCCATACTGAGACAGCTGTTCAGAAAAGCATGGGAGAGGAAAAGATGAGTTCTACGCCTGAGAAGTTTCTGTCTTTAAATCACAAAATTCAAACATTATGTCTTCAAGGAATTCTTATATGAGTCTGATTCACTGGCTGGATTAAAAACTAGTCCATTGCATCTCTAAAGTAATCTACTTAATGTGTTGCTTTCCAGATGTGTTGGACCACAATTAATTCCAATAATCTCAACCCAACACGGTTCACTCAAGGAAACTGTAGTTCAATACACCAGGATTAGACTTTCCAAATTACCTTGAAGAAAGCTGTTAAGATGATTGTCACAAAATTCTAAATAAAAAACTACACCACGTTTTTTTAAAGAAAATTTAGAAAATGTATATGGACATCCAACTATGAACAAAGAGCTCAAGGAGAAATCCAAAATTATAATTAGAACCATAATGTCAACCAGAAGAAAGCAACACTTGATCTACAGTAGCATGCAGACGGGAGTCATCCAACAGTCATTCCATCTTAGGTTCAGCTATCCTTCTGCCTCACTTTGGTGGTACCACTAGAGTAGCATTTCTCAACTTTGGCAACTATAAAAAAAAATGTGGACTTCAACTTCCCAAATTCCCCAGCCAGCATTGGAATTGAAGTCCATACTCCTTAAAGTTTTCAAAGTTGCGAAACACTGACCTTGAGATAGGACAAACTGAGCTGCATTGATTGTTGCATTGACCTGTCTTGAATCTCCTCGGGCAGATTTCACTAGTATTTCCCACCTGAGGCTGATATTAACTCAACAGCATGAATAACACAGCTGTTCTAGTTTTCAGAAGCTGCATTTGGTCCAGTTTTTTTTCAAATGCTGATGTCTAAAACACGCTCCTTCACCAATATGCTAAGTATTTCTGGTGTTGTTTAGCCTTTGTTTTTATTGAACAAAATTTAGAAACACAATTCTTTACTCATAGATTCCATATATAATATGTTTCCAGGTCTTACAATCAGAGCAGAATAAGTAATATTTAGATAAAAATCAAATGAGTAAGAACCTGAAACAAAGCTAAACCAACAATTAACAAAAGCATTCTGTTTTAGATAATGCCCCAGATCCGTATAATGTTTCCTACAACAGTAGCACTCAGCTATGTTCCAATTAGGCAAAATTGTGGTTGGCAATGCAAAACCATGAAATTTGGCTGATGTTTAGGCCCAGTCAAACCAAGACAAACATATACTTCATAATATGGATTGAGCATCTTTTGAAATACAATATGTACACAAACTTCATATGTGTCTGTCTGCATTATCAGCTCCCTGCTTTGCCAAACAGCAAAACAACTGATAGTGAACAGGTCAACCAGGATATAATTGAGAGCAAAAAATCCTGGCCTTGCTTCTTAACATCAAACTTACATAAAAATATCTAGAATGAAGATTTAACTCCCAACTACTGAGGAAATCCAGCCAAGAGAGTTTTCCATCTAAGCCATTTTGAGAAGGACAGGGGGAGGGGGAACAGAAAAATGGGAGGGAAAAAAAACCAAGAATATTTTTCAAATAGCCGTATTCAGTCTGGGAACTATTAAAGCCAATAATTGTAGGGCACTACAGAAGTTTTGAATACATGTCATGTCCTGCATTTATCTCCTACTATACCAGTGGTGGCGAACCTATGGCACGGGTGCCAGAGGCAGCACTCAGAGCCCTCTCTGTGGGCACGCGCGCCATCGCCCCAGTCCTAGGCCTTTAGCTGGGTTTTATAAAACCTTTTCGCTTTAGGCCTCTGTCACCATGTGCAAAAAAAAAAAAAAAGTTCAATCAGTCAATTTCAACTTCTCGCAGGAAAAAAAAGATCTTGCAAAGTTGGAATTGATTGATTGAACTTTTTAGTCCCACCCAGTCTGCCGTTACTACCGCAGCCACGCCCACCCAATGGGCCACACCCAGCCAATGGGCCAGGCCCAGCCAATGGGCCACACATACCCGGCACTCCATGATGCATAAGTGGGTTTTGGGTTGCAATTTGGGCACTCAGTCTCTAAAAGGTTCGCCATCACTGTACTATACAATGTGTCGTAAATAATTTTTGTTCAATTATTTACATCCAGATGCTGATGATTTATTAATAACACACATGTAAAAATTGGTTCTGGAATCAAGTTACTGATTTCTGTACATTTTGAGGCCTAAACAAGAACAGTATGAAATCTCCCAGGGTTACAGTATATCATAGAATTATCTGTGGTCTGGTCTGTTCTCTAAATTCCATTCCTTGCTTATTATTTCTTTAGACATCCCGTCCTGTCACTCCATGCCCCCTTTCCCTGCCCAGCAAAATGAAACTATCTTAGGATCATAATTTATCTCTCTCTCCATTATCCCAGCACATTCAAACCCTACCATCCTAGTCAGAGAACTAGAAAATCCAACCTGCTAACTATATTATGTCTTGAAGGGTG